ATTTATTTATTTCTCTAGTTATTTTTTTCTGTATTTCCTTGTCCTTATGCTAATAAAGGGGCTGTCAGTCAATGATGTCACAGCGTTTTAATATTCCTATTGGTCGATCGAAGTCAGATTCCGTAGATCGATTGTTCATGTCTTGCTCTCTCAGCGGCAACTAAGGACGAGACAGTACAGTAACGGCTGCTTACAGCAGCAGACAGTCAGAGATCTGACAGTCTCGGCTGATCTGGCTGAAAACGCAAGTACGGATTGTTCACTCTTTCCTGTGGAGGCTGTGGAGGACAGTTTGCTCCATTTAGCTGCCTCTGCTGAGAGTTTGACCCCATAGTGTTTAGAACTTTGGAGGAGGTGGTTCATCGTCTTTATCTACAAACTTCAGATCACTCAGACATTTGGACGCCCTTCTCACACACGGCCTGTGGAGCCATCAAGAGTTATCAGCAGGTTTGTCTGTTCGTGGCATTACAGTTCTTTATGGAGTGAAAGAACAGTTTAATCAGCTCTTCTCCTCCTGGTCTTGATTGCTAAGCCTGAACGTGAAAAACACGCCCCCTCATTATCATATGAACAAAGAAATACAGAAATAAATAAATGAATTAATGAAAAAATAAATAAGTAAATGAATTAATGAAAAATTAAATAAATACATGAATACATGAATCAATGAATAAAGCAAACAATTGTTAAAAATATAGATATGGAAAAAATATATAAAAATGGCATTAATAAAACAAAATAAATAACAGAAATAAATGAATTGAGAAATATATAACTGCAGAAAAAGGAAATATGTGTATAATTACAATCAAAAATAAGCAATATATACTTTATGTAGTTTTTTTAATTTATTGATCAATTTACTGAGCCATTTATTTTTTAATTTTATTTATTTTTCAATTTGGCAAAATGTTAGGTAAAAATGAAATAAAAAACACAGTTGGCCCACAGATTTGCTGAGATTTTTGAGTTTGACACCCTGCTGTAGAGGATGTATTAACTTATTTTCACTCCGAAAATCAACAGAACATCATCTGACTACGACCACCCAAACTTTTGCATATGACTGTATATGTCCTGCTATATTCTTAAAAACAGTGCAATAGTACAACCACCAAAAAGCGTATTAAAATAATCTAGAGTAATTAATGGGCTGATTTAATCAAATGGGGACAGAATATTTACTCAGCTGGATTTTTTTAAGATACTGAAATTTGATTTGTCTTTTGCGGCCAATCAAAATCACTGCGATCTCAAACAAGCTCTTCTTTTCCATGCCCTCCAATCACTGCTTAGCAAACATTGTTATCCGCCACTGCCTCAAGCCTTCAGTCTGTTATCATTATGCCAGCGTTTGAATTTGAAGCTCCAGTTGTGGTTTAGATGTTACTAGGGATGTTTGTAAATGAGATCCTGTCCCGTTTTTTGATGGGTAAAAAAAATGGCAATATCCATCCAAATGTGTCAAATAAAGCTATGGATTTGTGGATTTTTTTGTAAATGAATGTAATATATAGATTGTTTTTAAAATAAGCGTGGATCAAAGTGACTTTAATAAGCTCATTCCGGTACTCGTTGTCATAGCAGGCAGGGGACAGCCTACAGTCAGGCAGGAAAAAATGCAGATGTATATAATCATACAAAACAAAAAGAGTCACAAGGGTCAAAACCAGTGAAAACCAAACACAAGAAAAAGGCTCAGAACTCAGGTATTGAACACAGGAAGCAACACAGAGATTTCGCAAACACACAATGAAAACACGGGGGGTATTTGTAACAGTCTTAATGTCCTTGGAATGAGCTGCAGGTGTGTAGGAGAGAAGCAGAGTGGGCGGAGCCAGGAAGAGTCCAAGTCTGTCTCCCCAGAGGGGGGGAGACATGACACATTACTTCAATGCACATCATTTAATGCAAGTCATCAAAGGTAAGACATAAATGGACTTTAAACACTTTTCATGCCTGCTGTGGCAGTATGCTTTAGCCTAGGATGATTAGCTTTACGGCTTCAAGTTTGCTGTCTTGTTTTTCCTCATCTCACCTGTGTGATTTTAACCCTTTATAATCTCAGGCTTATTACATACTAAGGCTTATTATTCAGTAACTACAGTGACTTTGGTGCAAACTGACCGAGCTGTTCTTATAGAAGTGTATACTAAAACTTTGGCCATTTAAGGGGTTAAATTAGCTACGGCATCTTTGGGCAAATGTGCCTGTGGTGAGCAGACACATGCTTTACAGTGAAGGGTGTTGCAGTGTTGGTTGCGTTTATGTAAATCTTGCTTTGTGGTTGATTGCTATTATTTTTGTATCACTATAAGGCAAAAGTGCTGGAATAGATAGGGTGATAACTTTATGGCTGTCCAGAATGGGCTGTAGCTTGATGTAATGATGCTGCTGGACATTGGCGCGTATCTACCAAGTTGGCCATCTCACTTTTTCACAGCCCTACTTAACTTTTTTCCTGTCCTTGCCACTGAAGTGAATTCTATGACTGATACACAGAAATAAAAAAACAAAAAAAAATGTTGTCTTCAAGGTTAATCTGGAGAAACATCTGCCTCACTGCTGTCAAAGTTCACAGAGGAGGTTGTTAGGAACATAAGAAGATCCAAAAACGCGCTCTACATATGAGGTCCATGTTATGAATATTTGTTTATGTATATTTACTGATGATAATCCCGCATCAGAGTCATTGTTATGAAGACCAGCGTTAGGAAACAAAGCCTGGAGCTAAACGGAGGAGTCCGTGTAGCAGCTGCTCATCTGTGCTAACATTGAAGGAGGAAATTTACTGTAAACAATGTCACTGTAGTTTTAACTGTAACTCAAAGTTTGGGCACCCCTGATCGAATTCCATGTTCTGTTGATTTTCTATGTTTGTATAAGTTACACATCCTCTACAGAGACATACTTCTGCACATTTTAATGGACAATTACTGTTTATTTGCTGAACTGAACATATAAAAAAGTAAAATAAAGTATGTAATGAAGTCAGCAATTAAATAATTAATTAAATTGCACAAAAATATATACAAAATGCATATGGTTGTCTTCCTTATTGTAGGAGAGAGCAGTAAAATTTAAAACACACATTATCATCATACAAACTGCTACTTACCAATGAGTGTGTTTACATGCACTCCATAATCTGATCATAATCGGATTTCTGCACTTATCCGATTATTCCAATGGTCATGTAAACACCATACTCAATCTAGAAATCCGACAAAGAGAGCTGGATTTTAGCTCAGTAATCAGATTTCTCAGTGCTGTAACTCTTACTCTGATATCTTTCGGGTTTCTCAGTCTGAGCATGTGTGAAAACAGACTGCGGTACCGGAAATAAGCGAGCAGCGTCACTGTGAGACGCAGCAAAACACTTTTGGAGCGACGCTGAAACCAAATACATGCTTGACAAAATGAAGGATTTAAATATTCTTCATCTTCTAGATGATGTATGTTCACATTTTCAGATAAAGTGGCGATGTTTTAAAAAAAGCTGCATCATGAAGTTTGAGTTTTACATTACGTTTACGTCTTCTGTGACTCAAAACGGGAGTTTCCCATTATCTGATTCCTCGAGTGCATGCAAATGCGTTGATCCAATCACTGACAAAATCTGCAGTTATCAGATTATTAAGTGCATGTGAACGCACTCACTGATTTATTACAAAGGTAAAATTTAATTTATCATTTCAAAATCAAATAATTAACACAGTAACTGTGACACAGCTCTCGTATATTTCAAGATAATCACTGTTGTGTGTATTTGAAATTATTGGAGTAAAGTTTACTATTATTATTTACTGTTTACTCTTATTCTTTGTATTTATACTCTGTACTGTACATTTATAGATACACAAATTTAACCATGATCAATTCCTCAAATCTGCAAATGTATTTGATCCTAATTCTCCCAGAGTCAACATTCTGCTTTTGGACAAAGAAAAGGCCTCATTTTTCATTTCCTCTGAGACCAACTAATAATAATAATAAAAATAATAATAATAATAATAATAATAATAATAATACTGAAGCTTTATCTCACAGTCCTGTAATCCCAGTTTTCTTTATGAACTCTGGTGCTGGATCAGTGTGAGAGTCTTTAATCACAGACGGATTGGTTTTTTTTTATTTTTTATATTTTTTCTTTTCTTTCCAGGTTTGTCGTCTGGAGACGTGATGATGGCACTTCGTACTCAACAGGTGTCTGTGACATGTCGGAACAGTTGCCATGGTAATGAAAGAAAGTGGCCAAAGCGCGAGTGATACGAAGACTGGGATCCTGCACAGAGCATTACTCACAACGTGTGAAAACACCGCAGAGGGGGAGAGAGAGAGAGAGAGAGAGAGAGAGAGAGAGAGAGAGAGAGAGCAATAAGGAGAGAGAAAGAGAGAGAGAAAGAGAGAACAACAAGGAGAAAGAGAGAGCAATAAAGAGAGGGAAAGAGAGAGACGGAAAAAAGAAAAAGAGAGAGAGACCGTGAGAAAGAGAGAGGGGGGGGGGAAGAGGAGAGGGAGAGAGAGAGAAAAAGAGAGAAAGAGAGAAAAAGAGGGAAAGAGCAGTAAGGAGAGAGAGAGAGACAGAGAGAGGACAGAGAAAAAGAGAGTAATAGGGAGAGAGAAAGAAAGAAAGAGAGAGAGAGAGGGAAAGAGAAAGAGAGACGGAAAAGAAAGAGAAAAAGGAGAGGGGGTAGAAAGCAAGAGAGAATGTATTAATGTTTTATTATATTGTTATTATACTTTATCATTAATAGTAGCCTTAACTGAGTTTAACAAATTATAAAGAAATAAAACACAAAATGTGCCACATTTAATGTTTTTTGTCATTTGACTGGGGCGCCCAAACTTTTGTATACAGCTGTATGTTTTTCAGTGTGCTGGTTTTGCCTTCACCTCACATCTGAACATCAGCTGACTGTCTCTCACAGCCACAGTGTCCATGTTAACAGTGGCTCCTTCTGACTGGTGTAGAAGCTGCAGTGAACAGAAAGTACCTCTCCACGAAGATTCCCGCCTGCACGGCGTGGACGATGCTGCGGAACCGCGGTTTCTCTTCCGGCCGCCGCCGCACCACGCCCATCTTCCTGGTGAAGGTGGAGGCCAGCCAGTCGCGCACCTCCATGGGCACGGAGTCCGCCTGGATATCACTGAGCTCATCCTCTGTGTCCAGCAGCCGCCTGGAAGAGACAGTTTCACATTCGGGTCAGTTTAACAATGCTAATGCTGCTAATGAAAATTAATGCAAGCTAACAGCTGACAATTAGCATTATGCAAGCGGAGATGTGCTAATTGCCAGATAGTGCCTTCCATTGTTGCTAGTGAGCCACAATGCTTTAAATGCCCGAGGTCTGGATCTGAAACCCTGCAGTATGAGGTACAGGGTGATACTGGTTCCTGTGGCGCAATAGCAGTGAGAACACTATACTGTGCAGACCACTTTATTAGAAACACCTACCTTGTACTTCCATTCACTGGCCACTTTATTAGAAACACCCACCTTGCGCTTCCACTCACTGGCCACTTTATTAGAAACACCCACCTTACGCTTCCACTAACTGGCCACTTTATTAGAAACACCCACCTTGTACTTCCACTAACTGGCCACTTTATTAGAAACACCCACCTTGTGCTTCCACTCACTGGCCACTTTATTAGAAACACCTACCTTGTGCTTCCACTCACTGCCCACTTTATTAGAAACACCCACCTTGCGCTTCCACTCACTGGCCACTTTATTAGAAACACCCACCTTGTACTTCCACTAACTGGCCACTTTATTAGAAACACCTACCTTGTACTTCGACTAACTGGCCACTTCATTAGAAACACCCACCTTGTGCTTCCACTCACTGGCCACTTTATTAGAAACACCCACCTTGTACTTCCACTAACTGGCCACTTTATTAGAAACACCTACCTTGTACTTCGACTAACTGGCCACTTCATTAGAAACACCCACCTTGTGCTTCCACTCACTGACCACTTTATTAGAAACACCCACCTTGCGCTTCCACTCACTGGCCACTTTATTAGAAACACCCACCATGCGCTTCCACTCACTGGCCACTTTATTAGAAACACCTTCCTTGTGCTTCCATTTATTGGCCACTTTACTGGAAACACCTACCTTGTATCTCCACTCACTGGCCACTTTACTGGAAACACCTACCATATAGGTATAGGTGTACATTTACAGATTTTAGCCCATCTAACCAGATAACCGTGTCTCCCACAGTTGTACAGAACTGTGAACAAAATGCAGCAGAATGTATGGATTCTTTAATTAAGCCCAGAGTTAAAGCCTGAGGTGCCATAACATAACTGATGCACCAATTAAGGTGGAACAGGACAATTCAAACAAGAAGCTGGCGAATGAGAAGCCTTGTAAAAAGTTGAATGTTGAGAGATGTTTTACAAGAAACTGTTCTACTTTTGAGGAAAAGTTTCCTGCTGGAGATGTGAGAAAAGCAGCTGTAGCTGACCTGAAGCTTAAAGCAGAGCAAAGTGAGTCTGCGTTTTCATTTATATTATATTTTTTAGCCTATACTCGTAAATTAGCACATACGGAGACATATTTACAGCCAAGATGGTAAAACGTTACTTAAATAAATGGACATAAAATGTTGGGGCTCCCAAGTCGGATTGATTTCTGGTAAGAAGACAAAATGGCTCTTCTTAACATTTGGGTTGCTGACCCCTGGACTAGGGGACGTTCTGCACACAGTGAGTCAGACTGAAACACTCTGCAAACCCAGATAACTGACTCTACTCTCAATACTGGAGCATCTGATGATTATTAGAGCAGGCAGAGAGAGAGAGAGAGAGAGAGAGAGAGAGAGAGAGAGAGAGAGAGAGAGAGAGAGACTGGCCTTAGTCTAGTAGACAGTAAGCAGCAATTTACCAAAGACCAAAGCAAAAACAAATAAACTAATACATTCTTCACGAGGACCCCAGCAGGATCCCTGTGCGCCGTGTGTGTCTGTGCGTGTTGTTCTTTTTCGTTACGTAGGTATCCTACCAGAGCAGGAAACGCAGAACACGTTATCATAACAAATGTGCAGTTACGGTCAGTAATGAGCTGAAATTGCTCAAAGCTGCTGCCATGGCGATGCATCCTGTGGCCCGTCATTAGGGAAATGCAATTAGCCGTAGCAGCACAAGGCCATCAGATGGAGTCTGGGTGCTACAGGAGCAGAGGGAGTGACACGGGCAGGACGGAGAGAGAATGAGAGAGTGAGAGAGAGAGAGAGAGAGAGAGAGAGAGAGAGAGAGAGCACAGAGACGATTTAATTAGGAGCGAGAACGATGATGGAGAGAATGATGGAGAGGATTATAGAGAGCCCAGGTTAGCTCAGTTATCAAAAAAAACAGAGAGAAAAATGTAAAGCAAAATGTAAATGGATTCGCTTCTATGGGCGTGAGAAAGAAAGAAAGAAAGAGAGAAAAATAGGAGCAATATCAGGAGAAAGAGAATGAGTAGAGGAAAGGAGAAAGAGAGAGAAAGAAAGACAGGAAGAAAGAAAAACAGAAAAAGAGTGAGAAAAAGGAGAAAGAGAAGGGACAGAGTAAAAGGGAGGGAGAAATGGGAGAGGAAGGGAGGGGAGAGAAGAAAGAAAGAAAGAAAGAAAGAAAGAAAGAAAGAAAGAAAGAAAGATAGAGATGGAATAAAAGGAGCAATATCAAAAGAGAGAGAGGGAAATGGGAGATAGAGAGAAAGGAAATGAGTCGAGGTGGAGAGAGAGAGAAAGTTATAAAAAAAAAGAAAGACAGATAGAAAAAGAGAGAACATGGGAGAAAACAAGGGGGAGAGAGTGAGAGAGAATTAGGAATGGGACAGAAAGAGAGAGAGAGAGAATGGGGGACAGAGAAAAGGAAAGAAAGAATAAAAGGAAAGACAGAATAAAAGAAAAAAAAGAAAAAGAAAGGAATGGGAGAGAAAGAGAAATGGGGAAGAAGGGAAAGAGAGAGAGAGAAATGTGTCTGTAAGGGAGAAAAGGAAAGAAAGAGAAAGAGTTTAATGTCATTTCAGTGTATTATGGTTGTTTTCTCTATAACAAGCATGAAAACCGCCAGTAGTGCTGATGTCTCGGTAGCTAAACGTCCCGTTCCACCTTAAATGGTGCAGCAGTTACATTCTGGCGCCTCAGACATCAGAACTGCTTCTCCATTTAAGGTGGAACGGGCAAATTCGAACAAGAAGCTGGTGAATATCTGACTTCAGCTTCATATCACTGAAGAATTAGGGGTGGGTGATAATAAATAATTGCCCCCCTCTTTGAAGGCATATGATGCCCTAAATGTAACTAAAGCCCAGCAGTGAGGAGCTGAACTTTACCCTCCTCTGCTGTCACTGCAGACTGGCAGGGTCGCCTACAGAGCAGCGCTGGTAGCTGTTAATGAAGTGATGCTCTTTTTATTTGAGGGTCCCATTTCAGAGGGAAGATTTCAACCACTACCCTGTAACTCAGTTCCAAGGGGCAAGATGACCCTCAAAAACAAAGGGTAGGGGTAAAAATGAGAAATGGGATCGGGCCGAAGAGAGACAGAGTGAGAGAGATAAAGAGAAGCATGTCTGCTGTTAACACGACAGTCTTTAGAGATATGAAACACCTCCTGCGTGCCACCTCACTCTCTCTCTCTCTCTCTCTCTCTCTCTCTCTCTCTCTCTCTCTCTCTCACATGCCACATCAGTGGAATCCTCCCCCGCTCACTATGGCAGCATGATCGCCCTCCACCGAGAGCTTCAGAGAGGAGGATTATGGGTAATACAAGGCTGGAGTGGATGAACACTCCAACAGAGAGATCACTCAACACATTTGATCATATTCCCTCTCTCCCCCTCTCTCCCTCTCTCTCTCCCTCTCGCTCTCCCTCTCTCTCTCTCCCTCTGCAGCTATACAGCATGGCGATAAAAAGCAGGGGGAAACCTTGTTCATAAGAACAGCAGAGTGTGTGTGTGTGTGAGAGAGAGAGAGAGAGAGAGAGAGAGAGAGAGAGAGAGAGATGTACTCAAATCATGATCTACAGAGAGTCTGAAAGGAGAGAACAGAAAAGTGGCATCAGGACTGCCGTAAGTACAGAGACTCTGCTGTTCAGAGAGAAGTTGGATTAGAGCTGCAACAATTACCACAGTACTGCTACCAGAGAGCTTGTAGAGAGGAGAACTAACGCTGTGTAATGTCTTCCATGTTTCTCAAACACTAGAGGGCGCTCCTGAGCGAGTCCAAAATGAATGGGTTAAGATGGAGCATTCGAGCAAAAATCACGGTTTATAAATCCTTAAACATTTTTAATATAAAATACGTTCATTCACTAAACACAGAACAGCATAAAACATTTTAACACTGCTGTTACATTTTAAGAGCTTTTAAACTCGAGTTATAGGACTTTAAAACAGCGCCTCATGTACGTTCATGACGTCTGTGGACAGCCAATGAGCTGCTCCGCTCACCAACCAATCAGCACTCAGGATCCGTAATGTTAGCGCCCTGCTACCCAAGACCCGTTTACTGTAGAAAAAAGGAAACATGCAAGAGAGTTTTCTTTGTTTTTTTAGTGAAATCCATCCTTCTACTTTCTAAAATTAAAGAAAAGTTCTGGGCGAGAGATTAGAAACTATTTTAACTTTACATTTTTAGCTGTTTAGCTCCATTCACCCCTGTTCATTAAGGACTTGCTTGTGGGCGCCCTCTGCTGTTTTGCAGTCCTGTTTTTGATATAACAGGGGAAATAGGAAGAGGCCAGACTCCTCATAAACCGGCTCTACTGACTACTGACCGCCATGTTGGCCGCATCACCATCATAACCGCATATTTTATGCTTTATGCTTTATATTTACACACATTTTAAATCAGAAGCAGTAAAAGGTGTGTAAGAGTAGCTGAACCTCATACACCAGGAAAAGTATTGTTACATCAGTGAAGTTATAACTACAGTAAAAGTAAAAGCACCTTTCCAAAAACAACTTCAGCAGAAGATCAAATGTAGCAGCTCATAAAACTACTTAAGTGCTGAGTAACTAATAGAACTGCAGTGGAACGTCTTAATACACCCAGCATCTGTCAGCATGGGAACTGAAAGCTGTTAGACTCTCTGCTTCTCTGTTTGGCCTAAAATAAAATGCTAAAGCTCCAAAAAAGGAATTAAGAACTAAATGTTAACAACTAAAATGAAAATGAGGAAAAAGTAGATATTTCTTCACTCACTGAGCATTTTTATTAGGAATGGCTCCTCGTTTCCAAGGAGCTCCACTTACTATATAGGTGCACTTTGTAGTTCTACAGTTACAGACTGTAGTCCATCTGTTTCTCTGATACTTTGTTAGCCCCCTTTTACCCTGTTCTTCAATGATCAGGACCCCCAAAAGACCACCACAGAGCAGGTATTATCTGGGTGGTGGATCATTCTCAGCACTGCAGTGACACTGACGTGCTGGTGGTGTGTTAGTGTGTTGCACTGGTGCGAGTGGATCAGACACAGCAGACTTTTGAAGCTTCTAAAAGATATTGTATGTTTCATTTTAAAGCTTGTGACAGACATATTAGCATATTTTACCTTTTAGCAGTTTCACAACGACTCAAAAAAATGCAACTGGAGGCAGCAGTGTCATGCATACAGAACTTCAGAGGGGAACCTTCAGACCTTCAGAGAAGGTCTGAAGGTTCCCCTCTGAAGTTCTGTATGCATGACACTGCTGTGATAGACTAACCAACCCCTGCCTCCAGCTGCTGGTAATGGTATCGTGTATTGTGGTGGTAGAAAACCCAAACACTGTATTTAGAAAATAAATAAATAAAAACTACCACCATAAGAGCCATAAGTTGGACAGCATGGAGGACAACACCATCATCCTGCACTTGGAAGACTGAAGGTTTCATTATCCATCTGAGCAGGAAGACCAAGGCTATAACCAATAAGAGTTCTTGTACAAAAAACATTTTCCTGCCACTGTAAGTCACAGAGCATCTGCTAAATATGTAAACCTAAACTATACTTGAATTGAGCCTAATTAACATCGTTAAACCACATACAGCATCTGCTAAACAGCATCCAAGAAGTGCGTCTGCTAAATGCTGTAAGTTAGGGCTTTACAGTATGGATGAAACTGTACTGCTGTGTATATTGTTACATACCAGGATTTTTATATGCCTTGGAATATATTAAAAATATAAAAATTACTGGTCAATCAAAAATGTGACTCACCGTGTTTCATCGATGTAAACCGCTTCCAGCACTGAGGCGGCATATTCAATGTTCTTCCTGAGATCCACCACATTCACCTCTCCTTTATCCAACTGCTTCACCAGACATCTCAGCCTGCAGGGGATAGAGCAGCCAAATCAGACTCGAACAAACCAGATCAGACTTAAACAGGCCAGATCAGACTTAAATACACCAGGTTAGATGGAAATAAGCCGTATCAGACTCATACAATCAAAGCCAGACTCACACAAACCAGATCATATGCAAACAAATCAGATCAGACTCATAAAATCAAATCAAATGCAAACAAACTAGATCAGACTCACAAAAAACAGATCAGACTCACACAAACAGGATCAGATGCAAACAAACCGGATTAGACTCACAAAACCAAATCAAATGCAAACAAACCAGATCAGACTCACACAAACCAAATCAGACTCACACAAAACAGATCAGATGCAAACAAACCAGATCAGACTCACAAAACCAAATCAGACTCACACAAAACAGATCAGATGCACACAAACTAGATTCGATTCACACAAACCAGATCAGACTAACAACACAAACCAGATCAGATTCAGATAAACAAGATCAGACTCATACAAACCAGATCAAATGCAAATAAACCAGATCTGACTCACACAAACCTGATCAGTTGCAAACAAGATCAGACTCAAACAGACCAGATCAGGTTAAAAATAAACCAAATTAGACTCGAATTTAAACAAATGAGATCTGACTTACAAAAAAAAACCCAAACCAGACTCAAACAGAACCATATAAGACTCAAAAAAATACAAACAAACAAAAAAAAGAGGAATTCAAACTAAATCAGGCTCAAACAAACCCAGACTAGTCGAATTCAGATGCTAATTACAAAATGCTAATTCTCAATCCATCCGCTTGATAATAAAGCCTCACAGTTCTCTTTGGTGTCTGGTTAGCAAGGCCGGTGCATCACTCTGGCTCCATCCTGTCATTCTGTACAGCCCTCTCTTCCAGGCTGCTCCCAAAACATTGCAGGAAACGAGGTGACAGTTTATTTTGAATGCTCTTGTCTGGTTGAATCAGACCTGGTTTCCAGACTTGATGTCTTTTGTGGGATCAGGGCCCTGGAGATTTACACCGTACAGAGATTTGTAATCTCAGGTAAATGACCTGAACTGGCATTGCATAACCAGTGACTTGGCATCCCCGTGGTACATGAATAGAGATGCCTGTCTGCACTGGGTCTCCCTACAGCCGTTATTAAACCTTCTCAGAGTGTTAGGCACTGTCTGCTAGCGCACTCTGACAGTTAAAAGTAGCACAAGCTTAGAGTGTGGGTGTTGTATCTCATGTAGAATATCGTGTCCATTTTACCTGAGGTCTCTCAAGTTCCTTGGCCCTTCTAAGACCTCATCACAGACCTCCATGTGCTTTTACTGCTTGGATAAATCCAGCTCTATAGTTACCCCTGGAGTGTTGACAGCTGCATTCCACTCAACTTGATGCACATTCATATTCCTTCCTTTGCCTTTGTTTTGTTTTGTTTTGTTTCTGTTCACAGGTTAGTGCATAAAACTGTAGGTTCAAGTCCATCCCTGACCTTAGTTCACTGCCACCATGGCATTATTTGTCTTAGTACCAGTTGAGAGGCACATCATGGCACGGCAATATGAACAATCCTGTTTTTGTGATGTTGAGTGAACTGTTTCATTCGCAACCCTGGTTTCCTGAAGAAGAGGAATCACATCAAGCTGCCACTCTGTGACCAGATATGGGTCTTCATTGAGGTATTCAGATGAGTCATAGGTGGAGACTTGAGTCAGAAGCTGCGTCCCAATTCAGGGGCTGCACACTTTGGAGGCTGCGTTTGAAGGCTGATTGCGTCACAGAGGCGCGACTAGGCTGCCCCATTTCGAAGGTTCCTTCATATGTGGCCGGGAAATGTGTCCTTCATTTCCATGACAGTGAAAGATCCAACATATACTGAGGTTCATTGCTTGCCAGCAAAGATTCAAGAACATGGCGGCGTCAGCAGAGGTGGTTTCGGTTCAGCCTTCGTAGACCTCATCCTTCAAAGGATGCAGCCTCTGAATTGTGACACAGCTTGTGAATCAAGAATCAGAAATAATCCAATGAGATGCTACATGTAAGTTGGAACATAGACTCATTCAGGTGGGAACAAACTGAGTGTGAAGCTTCTGAATCAGTCTAGGGGGCTATGGAGCATTCGTCAACACAGTCTGACAGACAACAACCCTGTCAGTAGCATATCCTTGTTAGTGGCAGGTTTCACCACATTCCAGCAAGCGAACTTTAACAAGTTGATCCCAGATATGTATTCTGATTGCAAGATCACATCTTGCCACTCAAGACTAACTCTAGACCAAAGACTCATGAAATTCCAGCCTCAGAAAAATCAATTTAGTAGAAAAACTTCAGTACGTGACCTAACGAGTGAACCAATGCCTGTCTATTCTGCAGACGTTGGTTCACTCGTTAGGTCAGATACTGAAGTTACTGCAATGCCATTCTCTTAGAGCAGTGTCAGATTTGGTGTGGCTTCAAATAACAAGTGTTTCTGAATAATAACATGTTTATATATTTTCTTTATTTTTAATTTAAAATTGTATTGAATATATAAAGGTTAAAATAAAAGGAATGAAGCAAGACTAAACCTTTTTTGTACATAGTCATTTCAGACAGAAGGCTATACCTGAGGCCATAATACAAGGCTGTACCCGGTACAGTGTGCACTGCATTGCACTCTGTATTAATAGTATAGCAGGTTTATTAACAGCTTCATTAACAGCTACTAACACTGCTCTGTAGGCGACCCGGCCCGTCTTTAGTGACAGCAGAGGAGGGTAAAGTTCAGCTCCTCACTGCTGGGCTTTAGTTACATTTAGGGCATCATATGCCTTCAAAGAGGGGGTATAAGACAATTATTTATTGTCGCCCACAGCTACTTCGTTGGTGATACGAAGCTGAAGTCAGATATTCACCAGGTTCTTGTTCGAATTTTCCCATCCCACCTTAAATGGTGCAGCAGTTACATTCTGGCGCTTCAGGCATCAGAACTGCTGGGCTATTTAAGGTGGAACGGGAAAATTATCTAGCTAGCTACCGAGACATTAGCATGTTATTAACAATATTTTATGCTTGTTATGAAGAAAATGACCAAAATACATTGAAACTACATTAAGCTAAGAAAAAACAAAGGTTATTGTGATTTTCTAATGGAAAATTCTCATATTTGTGTGTTTCTTTGGTCTCTTGTTCTCCATCTTGCCGGTTTTTCTTTTTTTTCTCATAACACTCCGTTTGGAGTCTCTGAAAAACCTCCTTTTGGAAACCTCCATGTAGCCCTAACACTTCGCCCTCCCCCTCTATCTCAACAAAAATCGGACACCCTACCCCTAGATGTGAACGTGCAAAACAGAGGGCAAAGGGCTAAGTGGTAGGGGCGAGGGGTAAAATGGGATTGGGCCTAAATATTACAGTTACTTACACTACAGAGATGCGGTTTCTCTAGAATTGACTCAGACTTGCACCTCAGAGATTCTAGACCTGACTTGGACTCGCATGCCCAGAGAATCAAGAATCAACTCAGACTAGCGTCCTAGAGATTGGACTCAGACTCACATCTCAGAGGCTCTAAATATTACTTTGACTTCCACTCGAGAGATGCAAGACTCTGAACTTGACTCGGACCCACACATCAGAGATTCTACACTTGACTCAGACTCGCATCCCAGAGAATCAAGTCTCAACTCAAACTCGTGCCTCAGAAACTCAAGATTTGACTCAGACTTGGAACTCAGAAACTCTTGACTGGACTTATATTTAAACCTCTGAGACTCAAGACTAGACTCACACACACACCTCAAAGACGTAAAGTGACATCTCTGTTGTGGACACTCCCAATCAGTCACCTTGTATATGTGGGGCATCCAGGATTAAATGTGAGGCGTGATTAACAACTGGAGTTCTATTCTGTTCTGTTTTATAGAAACCTCAGCCTGGACACCCCCATGTGGGTCGTCCCAAATAACGTCCCCCTCCCTCGAATGTAGAGTCTAGCTGGAATCTACAACTGGCAGAGCTGTCTGAAGCCGTTTTCCCTGCTCTAACACACCCATTTAACCTCATGAAGGTTTTGCTAATTAGCTGATGAGTTGAGACACGTGTTGACAGCAGGGAAAACAAGACCATGAACTCCAGGATCGTGATTTGGAACAGGGTGTCTGCTCTGTGTGTCTGTGCCTAGCCGAGCAGAGAACAGCGCTACTGAACTCACTAACCAAATCAGCAACATGGAGAAAAGCCTGTGCACCCATGACCGCCTTGTCGATCTCATGCACATATTTAAATATTTACTACATGACCACAAGCTCATTAAAACGAACCATGGAGCTGAGCAGACTTTCATCTGCATTGGATTCCAGCAGTCAAATAAACTATTCTGTGTGTATTTGGCAGCTTTAAACGAAGCAGCCCTTTATACACAAAAACGAGTCCTCATAGAAATACAGCAGCAGCTACTAACATGTGGCTTACTGATAACACTCAACGCCCACACGCCCTGCCGCAGGTTTTCTGAAAGCGTATGTCTGAGGCAGAAAAAAAAAAAAAACAGCAAGACATTTTCTAATAGAAAAAGAAAGACAAAGAGTCAGCCGTCTGAAACAAAGCAGAACGGAAGTGAGTGATGGGCTGTCAGTAAAAGCCTTTCAAAGCACAGCTGGGAACGGCTGGAAGGAAGAAGACCAGTTTTTAGCCACGATACTGCAACAGCAGCTTTCCATTGGCTTTGTAGGTTTATCCTGCCATGTTCTTTATCAGCACACGCAAAGCTACATTCACTTCGTACATCAAGCTTGTTTCTACACTCATTGTCCATTTGATCAGCTCCACTTACTATATAGGTGCACTTTGTAGTTCTACAGTTACAGACTGTAGTCCATCTGTTTCTCTGATACTTTGTTAGCCCCCTTTTACCCTGTTCTTCAGTGGTCAGGACCCCCATGGACCCTCACAGAGCAGGTACTATTTGGGTGGTGGATCATTCTCAGCACTGCAGTAACACTGACGTGGTGGTGGTGTGTTAGTGTGTGTTGTGC